ATTTGGAATTCGTTAGCTGGATACACCTGCATCCAAGAGTTGATGTTCACTTCCAGACTCGAACCCTGTACTGTTCTCTTCAAAGCTGAGATGCAGAAAAGCTTAATAATCGTTTGATTGTTAATGACATAAGTATTCATCAAAGGATGGGTAGGGAAATTATCGTTGGGAGAAAATAGCTCAGCATAATAAGATAACTTATTTATAATACAAATTATAAAATCATGTAGGATTTATTTTCTAAGCTTTTACTCTAATTTAGCGAATCTTGCTAAAATTTTCCAAATATGATTTGATGTTGCTAAATCAAATAGATGGATTTACAGTAAATTCAATCAAGATTGATAGGTCCTGGGTTCAAATCTCGCGGGGTGCGTGATCGTGGATGCGCACCGTTGAGGAGTCCCATACTAAGACGAAACGGCCGTCCAGTGCTTCCAGGTTTTCCATGTTGGTCAATTGACTTCAACTGACTGATTTCAACCTTTGAAATTTCTAAAATTCTCCACAAAATCCATTCTGATAATATTAAATTAGTATTTGATTATTCTATCCAATAGATATTAGTTATACTAAGGAAAACAATTTGTGATGTAATAAAGTAGTCGATAAAACATGCACAACACATGCATCATTTACATATCTCTCCTATGTTTTCTAAATTAATAGTCTTTTATCATCATCATCATCATTATGACTATTGCTTTTTTTCTTTTTCAGAATATGATTTAAAGCCAATGAATACAGTTTATAATTTCATGTATACAATCCAAATACATTCATTACCTTTAGCTTAAGTTTCTTTCTTTTCTTTTACTTACTTACCTTATTGTTGTTTAGTAACTATCATGGTCATGCCATTATTGAATTGACACCTACGCATAAAACCGATTTTCGTTAGACATTACAATTTCATCATTCATTTAGGAAAAATTTCATCAGCTTTCTTATGATTGGCTAACATTGGATTATAGTGAAGAGGAATTGTAAGGTAATAATAAATAGAAATTCTATATCACAGATTAAAATCATGAGTCAGTTGAAGCTAGACCACCATGGAAAACCTGGAAGCACTGGATGGCCGTTTCGTCCTATTGTGGGACTCCTCAGCAGAAATTAACACCGTTGGATGCCGGCTCAGTGGTCTAGTGGTTAAGTGCTCGGGCGCGAAACCAGTAGGTCCTGGGTTCGAATCTCGCAGGGGGCGAGGTCGTGGATGCGCACTGCTGAGGAGTCCCGCAATAGGACGAAACGGCCGTCCAGTGCTTCCAGGTTTTCCATGGTGGTCTAGCTTCAACTGACTCATGATCTTAACCATTGAAATTACTACAATCTCCACAAATACCCATCTGATATTAATTTTGTAATTGTAATATTTTATTAGTTTAACTTTTAGAGATCGTTCAGATGTTGCAAAAAGTCTCAGAACAAGAGAAAGAAAGACTCTAGACAGTGCAATCAGTAAACATCTAGATACAGGACATCAGGTCGATACCTTACAATTCGTCAAAGTGATTAGTATGTAGCTAAACTTCAGTCTTCTGAAGCTGTTGCTATCAAGTATCAAAAACCTGACTTTTATGTTCAAAAGGAGATGGTTATTAATCTTACCTTTCCTTGGTGATAAATACTCCTTCGTTGTACTTTAAACTCTTTCTTGCATTTATTACATCATTGGGTTTTATTTCAACTATTTTGCAAATTAATAATCTTATTTTATCAACTGAGCCCTACTCATTTTATTCCTATCAGCGTTTGCTCATTATGTAATCACTTGTTTCTGGTTGTTTGAACTGATGTTGTAGAATGTTCTTTTACATATAGTACAATATTTAGTCTATCAAATTTATTCACACCCTTGCTATACTATACTAATCTGTCTTTAATATAACTTCCAATCAAACTCTTTCAGGTAAGTAATTTAAACCCATTATGTAATTATGACTTTAAATATTACAGATTGTAAGCAGTTGATGAGAACCAGACGAAATAAAATGAATTCATGCTACTCTGTTAGAATCTTTGTTTTTGCTCTTTTCAAAATCATAAAGAGAACTATGTGTATAAAACATCAGAATATTCAATTGCCAAATTCAAATACGTAAATCATATCGTTCTATAGAGTAAATACATTGATCAACTTCATCCTCTTGAGTAACAACGCAAGCAACATTTTCCATGTAAATTCAAAATAAAAATGTTTCATTAGTTTAAAAAGTCACTAACTTTTGATTTTTAGCCATATCACTCGATTCAGTCTACCCAATTGCACAATCAATAGTTAGGTGTCTTAGTTGACACGGCTAAAATATATATCTCAATAGCGCATATTTCATTTTTCTGCTTTATGATGAAATCTTATTTTGTAACAGTTATTTATTCCATTTCACATATTCAATTTAAACCGATTTTTCTTTGCTTGTTTTACTACAATTGACACTAATATTCTCCTTGGTACATAGAGTTTATAATCTTTTGAATTAGATATCATGAAGCCCTATCACCATTGTCTTGTGGATCTTAGAATTCTTAAATGCATCACAGTTAGGTAATTCATATTTTCATAGTCTACCATATAGTGGCCCAACTAAGTGGATGAAGATCTCACTTACTTATACCCCTTCGAGGAGGGACATAGGCCACCGATAAGGATTCTATAACAAACTCTGTCGTGGACAATCTATTCAAGTTTTTCTCAAGTTACTATTCATCCTTTTAATATCTGCTTCCAATTCTCGACGCAGTATGTTCTTTCTTCTTGCTGTTTTCCGTTTTCCATCAGGATTCCAAATTAGCGCTTGCCTCGCGATTCAGTTTGACAATTTCAGTAATGTCTTATCCATTTCCATCATCTTTTCCTAATTCCCTTTCAACTGGAAGCTAGTTTGTTCTCTCGCATAGATCTTGATGCAATTTATTTGGTTGTGAACAATTGAACATACAACGCGCTGACGTGTTAATCACAAGGAAAATTTGACCTGGAGTCTTAAATCATATTGAATTGTTGTAACTCAGTTACCATTGAAATATCTCATTGAAGTTTAATCATTTGTTTGTCGACTTCACCGAAGCTGTGGTAAATTCGCTGAGGATAGTGTTCAATAATTAAACTACATTGTGAAAATATTCTACTATGAGAAAAACTAAATATTCTGAGCATGACTCCGTGATAGTTCATTCTATATCAAATAAAGCTTTTTAGTAGATCTTAGTATTTTTTTTAAACTGTCTAGCTAAGTCAGAAATGAACATTCTAAACTGTCAAAAGATATAATAAATATTTCTTTACATTAAAACTGGATTCAATACTCAACGCGATCCGAGCAATTCTAAAACAGAATTTGTTCTATTAGTGGATCATTATACGTAAGTTAGTCAAAACGTTTTCCTTCGAAATTTCAGGTTAGTTATAAACGTATGTAAAAGGAAGAGTTTGTAATAAGTACCAATAATTCACTGCAGTCCCCAAACAAGTTTTGTTTTTGATTACTCATGTGTATTAGTTAAAATAAAGGTGCTAGAATGAGCAGTTTTATTTATTTTCGATTGATATTGTTCAATATAGTGAGTTAGTCATAACCAACATAAAGTTGGGTACAAACGCGATTTACCTCAATTTATCATACCTCAGTATCTTAGTAAAATGAAGTAACTTAAGTGTATAATAAATAACTCGAGAGAATAGTAGTATTTATGACTCGAAGAGAAGAAATGAAAAAATACTGAAATTTAGAATTTTGGGAGAGACAAAGAATAGATGTGTCTGTTCCACTATAATCGTTTCTGAGCCAACATTTCTAATCATTGGTCAAGATTACCATAGTAACTCCAACCAGGTACATTGAACCTATCAATGTGACTTGAATTAAGAGTTAATGAATTTCGTAAACTGATACCACGTGTTGGTTTGACTGTAATTGGTTTCCTCTCAACCTATTCTTACTTTAGTCAATAGTTCATCCCAGTTTTATCTGTTATTAACAATCATTGCACACAATTTAATAAACTTAATTCTCATAACTATCAACCTATTGTTCAAATTTTTTAAAAAATACTACACTTGGTCATCAGTTATTAGTTATGATGCCTTTTTTTGTCTAGAAAATGAAACTAAGTAAAGAGTAAACTATTAAAATTAAAAAAATGTAACTAATAGTTAACAAAAGGTTACTTTTTCTTGTATCCTATCGTACCGAATTATCGAATGATTGTTGTGAAAGACACTATAAATTGAATGAATCATTCACTTTCATGAATTGAATACACATACAACAAGAAAACAAATCAATAATTTTGTAAACAGGAAAACAAGAAAAACAGAATCAATAAAAAACCAACACACATTTATAAAAATCAATTACTTTTATTTGGATCCTAGATACTTTTTTTTAAAGAAAAAAAAAAAGAATGAAACACAGGGTATATAAAACTAAAATAATATGAGAAGGTTATGCTGATTGTATATGTTAAAGTAACTATATGTTCAATGAAAAAAAAGAGAAGTCTAATCAAGGAAAGTGGAAGCATTTTGTGATTTATATATATATATATATATATATATATATATATATATATATATATATAGAGAGAGAGAGAGAGAGAGAGGAGATAATTCAATTTCTACTCATTATCAGGAGTCATTCTATGAACCGTTAAAACATGATGTAATAACAATGAGAAAACATCAGAAAGGGTATAAAAAAAAAGTTAAAATTCTGAACATACATACACATATCTTGACAACAATGATGACGATGATGATGCTATATGATCTATTGGTTCACTACAATTTGAATTATACTACTTATTCTATTGCTACTACTATAACTCTTGTAGAAAGAGTTTGCTTTAACGGAATGATACCATGCTACTATTACTACTACCACAACCTTTTTTTCTGTTAGTCGTGACACTACTAACATGGCTAAAACTGATTGTATTAGTAGTAGTGGATAAGAAAACAAAAATAGAAACATCAATAAATGAATTCAGTTCATCAATTAATTCGACGGTACAACTTTAAATAATTTCTGTACTCCAATAGTAAATGATTCTGAAAGAAAAATAGTAAACAAAAAAAAGACTATTTACATATTATTAAATGTTTTCAATGATACACATTAAGATTTTTAGTATAAATGTTACATCAGAAATTCTGGACAATAATTAATGAGTTATGTGCTCTGTCAAAATCAGTTCTTACTTGTCAATAAGATACATTCGAAATCTTGAAAGAACTGATTTGCCTCTCATAAATTTAGCGCCACAGGGATAGTCATTCATGCTTTCTGTAACAACACTTTTACATTTAGGGTTTCAGGCTATTTCTAATCAATCATAATATTATACAAATTGCACCATGATGCTCAAATGACGCTGAGGATTAGACAATACGGTTAACCAACACATAATTCCAATGTCAAATATAGTGAAAGTCAAGTATTACTGTCAGAAGGTAGACAGATATCTTTATCATACAAAACTATGATAAACAATGATTGTTTGTAGTAAAATGAGGAAAATCTTTAATAATGGTTTGAATATTTGTTGAAAAAACTTTCCAAGGTTGTTGCTACGTCAATAAAGGTTATGATGAAATGTATTCATGTCAAACTTTCGATAATCAAATCAAATTTCCTTCATAATAGAAAAAGTTTAAAGATCTTTCTCGATTTACTACAGATAATTTCAATGAAGATCAAAAATGAAAAAATAAAACAAAACTAACCAAAATTAAACACTAATTCAGTAACTATATAATTTAAAGAGAATTAAAACATAATATTAATTTATTGATTGAGATCACAAATCAATTGATGTTAGACCACGATGGAAAACCTGGAAGCATTCGACGGCCGTTTCGTCCTATTGTGGGACTCTTCAACAGTGAGCGTCCACGACCCCACGTCTTCGGATTCGAAACCAGGGCCTTCGATCTCACGCACGAACGCTTAACCTCCAGACCACTGAGCAGGCCAGCATCCAACAGGGTTATTGTCTAACCTCAACGAACTCACGAAATGGTGCGACTACCTTCCATTGTACTGAGGTAGATACCTGTCTCTACCCGACATGGATTAGCTCCACTGGTCACGGCTTCTCACTAGAACTCCGAGAATTCCCTTACGAAGCTAGTCACTAGTGAGCACATGGCAATTATCAGTATAGGCTCACGGCTTCTCATTATATATATATATATATATATATATATATATATATATATATATATATATATATATATATATAATTTAAAGAGAATTATAACATATAATATTAATTATTTACCAAATTTTCTTTGAAATGATTTCGGTTTATTCTTCCATACACAACCAATTATATAAACTGGTATCCCAGTACAAATGATGGCTACACCGAGCACTAAACGATAACAACAACAACAACAAAAATAGGAAGAAAGTAAAAAAGTAAAGAAAAATAATTATTGATAAACAATTTTTAAGGTTATTTTTTCAAAAAATTGTCTAACTACTTCTATAATCTTTCCTTCATGTTATTTGCACAATTATGATTCATTGTGCTTACCTGTTGAAAATCGTCAGATTTGAATATGTTTATTAAACTTTGGTGATATGACAATCATTCAATCATTCATATCTCCAACATTGCATTCTTATAGACTCAAACTACATAATTCTATCACCATTGAAGATTAAATAGGATAATATAAGTCAAATCACCCATAGGGTTAGTAATCATTTTAGTAGGTTAGTAATTTTATGAAATGTTTATTCAAGGGAATATAATGTGGTGTATACTACTGATATTGACAGAAATATAAGTAGTTTATATCATCAATTGAAAGTGAACTGCTCGAAGACAGAAAGGTAAAAAGATCAATGAGAAGAGAATGAGGATAGTGAATGACTGATGTAGAGAAAAAAGAACAATCAAGTTTGAGATAATTGATGGATATTTTGTAAATGAATTATTTACTGTATGGTTCTTAGAATTTATTAAGATGTTCTATAATACATTCGATTGTCCTTACTAGTCTTCTCGTTCACTAAAATACGTTACCATATAAAAATTTATTGTTGCTAAGTGAACAATATGATAAAACATTTTTTTCAAAAATAATACTTTCTCATTTTAAAAAAATGAAAAAAAAATTTATTTGTTTTTTTTTTCCTTACATGATTCAGTTGGGGCAGCAACAAATGCAAATATCACCAAGAATAAAGTTATGAGAACATAAATGATTGCAAATAAAATTGGTGCCTAAATTATAAAACAAAAATAATAATAATAATATTCAATTAACGTATTTATTCTAATATTATTGTTCAACAAAACAGAATAAAATCAAGTTGAGTTATGCAAAATCATTTATCGGATTTTTAAGGAAAGATGGATAGTGGCTAGCAGTGACTTAAGGTTATATTGAAGCAATTCGCATAGGATGTACATATACCAATAAGAGACTGATCAATGACAGTCTTAATCATCAAATGGGAAGATACAAATAAAACAACATTAAATGATTCCATCTATCAGATTGTTTATGATTAATTCTTCTTTTATAATTGTAATTAAATGAGGAAACTATCATAAAAGAGTTTGTATAATAATCTTGACAATTAGTTGAACTGTTGATGATATTTTTTTTCCAGAAGTGTCTGGTTTATCATTAAATCTTCTTTTTTGATAGTCCTATGATATTCCAAAAAATAGGTCTTATTCTATTCATGTGGGTACCACTAGATATTCATTCAAATATAAACACAAATAAACAAAATAATTAGATTACATAGAGATGAAAAAGAAATAAGTCAAATTATTATGATTTAATAATTTCAATTGTCAGATGCCATAAGATAATCATCTTATGTCATGAAAATCCAGCTTAGTTTTCACTTTGAAACTACTTAAAATTTTAAAAAAAAATAACATTTAAATCAACCCATTTAACAGGTACTTAGGTATGTCTAGAAGGGGTTTTGTGGAGATTTTAATCATTCTAATAGTTAAAATCATGAGCCAATTGAAACTAGACTACCATGGAAAACCTCGAAGCACTGGACGACCGTTTCGTCCTAGTTTGAGACCGTTCAATGCCAGATCAGTGGTCTAAAGGATAAGCGCTCGCTCTCGAGATTGATAGGTACTGGGTTCCAATCTCGCGAGGCGTGGGATCGTGGATGCGCACTTCTGAAGAGTCCCATACAAGGACAAAACGGCTGTCCAGTGCTTCCAGGATCTCCATGGTGGTCTAGCTTCAATTGACTCATGATTCTAACTATTTAACTTAGCTATGTGCCACACTTTACTTCTGAGGGCTAATGATAATACCTGGTTGCCTATATCGAAGAAGGTGGAATGCGTTTTGAACGTGGGACTCAATGCCTAAAAGTCGAACGCCTTAATCAATAAACTACCACTCTACATTCATTAAACGTTATTTACTTAGGGTCTATAAACTCAAAATAGAGTAATTTAGCTAACTTAATCTAAGAATCATACAAACTAATCGCTTAATAAACAACGGTAATAACACAGAACAATGATAATATCATATTGTTATATCATATATTCTAAAAATTATGGTCTATTTATTTGTATGGTTAAAAGCTGATTATATGAGATAATGCTGTCAAAAGTTTCATAAACCAACATTGAAACATAAATATGTAAAGGTAGGCTTCCAGCATCAATATGCAGGAAATCGAATTTTTTCACAAGACACCCTTCTGTTGATACTTTTCAAAGTTCATTGTATTAGTATCCTGAATAAAATTTGATTCTAAATGTTTCAGCTATAGGGGAATTGTTCAAAATAGATGAGAAATTAAGTATTAAAATAAAAAGTATAACGTACTTTCACAGGACGTGGATGATGTCGTCTAGTTATTCGAAATACAATAACAATGAATACACATGAACCAATTGCAAGCCATTGTACAAAGCCAAGATATGTTATTAATGAATAAATATCACCGACAAGTAGATAACATAATGATGTTATACACTAAATTAATGATAGAGATTTAAAAGAAAAAGAAGAAAGAAGAAAGTAGAAAGTTTCGTAAAGATATATAGTTTTGATAAACAACAATCAATAAAGTCGTATATAATTGAGATCATGAAACGATTGATGTTAGACCACCATTGGAAACCTGGAAGCACTTGACGGCCGTTTCGTCCTGTTGTGGTACTCCTCAGCAGTGCGCATCCACGATCCCACCTCGTCGGATTCGAAACCAGGGCCTTCGGTCTCGCACGCAAACGCTTAACCTACTAGACCACTGAGCCGGCATCCAATGGTAATAGCGTCTAACATCAACCAATTCACGAAATCGTGCGATCATTTTCCATTGTACTGAGGTAGATACTTAACTCCGCCTGTAGCTCTAATAGGGTTACTGCCGGTCCCAAGCCCGGGTAAAGGAGGAGGGTTGGGCATGGGGTTAGCGTCCCCATCCCGTAGAAAACTAACTCGCTAAAAAAACGCTTACCAGAAAAAATTATTCAAACCATTTAAACTCTGCCCTGGGAGTTAGAAGGTCTTCAGTTAGAAGAATTATGACGCTTCATGGTGAAAGCCGAGTTCCTTCGGAAGCCACGAGGCCGATGCCCCTTCTAACAACCAGAGCAAAAATTTTTATAGGTACATGGAACGTTCGAACAATGTGGGAAACCGGGAAGACCAGTCAAATAGCAATGGAAATGAGGAGATACAACTTAGCAGTACTGGGAATCAGCGAAACCCACTGGACCCAAGCTGGACAGAAAAGGCTAGCTACGGGAGAGATGCTGCTATACTCCGGTCACGAGGAGGACAATGCTCCACACACTCAGGGAGTCGCTCTTATGCTGTCCAAAGTAGCACGAAATGCACTTGTAGGATGGGAGTCTCACGGATCCAGAATCATCAAAGCATCATTCAAAACAAAGAAGGAGGGGATCTTAATGAATATTATCCAATGTTATGCACCCACCAATGATAGCAACGACGACATTAAAGATCAGTTCTACGAGCGGCTACAGTCAATCATTGAGAAATGCCAAGAAAGGACCTAACTATTCTGATGGGAGATCTAAATGCCAAAGTCGGAATAGACAACACCGGATATGAAGATATCATGGGACGACATGGACTGGGACAGAGAAACGAAAATGGAGAAAGATTTGCAAATCTATGTGCATTCAACAAATTGGTCATAGGAGGCACAATATTTCCACACAAGCGTATACACAAGGCTACATGGATCTCACCGGACCACACTACAGAGAACCAAATAGATCATATTTGCATCAACAAAAAATTCCGAAGGACAATGGAAGATGTAAGAACCAGGAGAGGTGCTGACGTAGCTTCAGATCACCACCTAGTTGTAGCCAATTTAAAACTGAAGCTAAAAAAGAACTGGACAAGTGGACCAACAGCACTACAAAGGTTCAATACAGCCTTCCTTCGAGATACTGACAAACTCAATGAATTCAAGATAGCTCTCAACAACAGGTTCCAAGCCTTACAAGATCTACTGAAAGAAGAAGAAACTAGTATGGAGGACAACTGGAAAGGCATCAAGGAAGCATTAACTTCAACGTGTCAAGAGGTTCTGGGCCTAAAGAAACACCATCATAAGGAATGGATCTCTATAGAAACACTGGACAAGATCAAAGAAAGGAAGAACAAGAAGGCAGCAATTAACAACAGCCGAACACGAGCAGAGAAAGTTCAAGCACAAGCTGAATACATAGAAGCAAACAAACAAGTGAAGAGGTGCATTAGAGCCGACAAGAAGAAATACGTGGAAGAACTAGCAACGACGGCAGAAAAAGCTGCTAGAGAAGGAAATATGAAACAGCTTTACGATACAACGAAGAAACTAGCAGGGAAATACAGTAAACCAGAGAGGCCGGTCAAAGACAAAGAAGGCAAGCCAATCACCGAAATTCAACATCAGCGTAACAGATGGGTGGAATACTTCGAGGAACTCCTGAATAGGCCGGCTCCAATGAATCCACCGGACATCGAAGCAGCACACATAGATCTTCCTATAGATGTCAACCCACCAACGACGGAAGAAATTAGAATGGCCGTCAGACAAATCAAGAACGGGAAAGCAGCAGGACCCGACAACATACCAGCTGAAGCACTGAAATCAGACATCGAAGCAACCACAAGCATGCTGTACCTTCTATTCAAAAAGATTTGGGAGGAGGAACAAGTGCCAATGGACTGGAAAGAAGGACACCTCGTCAAGATTCCAAAGAAAGGAGATCTGAGCAAATGTGAAAACTACAGAGGCATTACACTACTGTCAATACCAGGGAAAGTCTTCAACAGAGTGTTGCTGAACCGGATGAAGGATGCAGTAGACGCCCAACTTCGAGATCAACAAGCTGGATTCCGTAAGGATCGGTCGTGCACAGACCAAATTGCAACACTACGGATCATCGTCGAACAATCAGTGGAGTGGAACTCATCACTATACATCAACTTCATTGATTATGAAAAGGCATTCGACAGTGTAGATAGGAGGACATTATGGAAACTTCTTCGACACTACGGAGTTCCTGAGAAGATTGTCAACATTATCCGGAACTCATACGACGGACTACAGTGCAAAGTAGTGCATGGAGGACAGCTGACAGATGCATTCCAAGTAAGGACTGGAGTCAGACAAGGCTGTTTACTCTCTCCCTTCCTCTTTCTTCTGGTGGTCGACTGGATTATGAAGACCTCAACATCTGAAGGAAAACACGGAATACAATGGACAACTCAGAATCAATTAGACGATTTGGACTTCGCAGACGACCTAGCCCTCCTATCACGTACACACGAACAGATGCAGATGAAGACAGCCAGTGTAGCAGCAGTCTCTGCATCAGTAGGCCTCAGCATACACAAAGGGAAAACCAAGGTCCTCAAATTCAACACGCAGAACAGCAATCCAATCACTCTTGATGGCGAAACTCTGGAAGATGTAGAGTCCTTCACATACCTAGGAAGCATCATCGATGAACAAGGAGGTTCAGATGCAGACGTAAAGGCGAGGATCGGCAAAGCAAGGGTCGCATTCCTACAATTGAAGAACATATGGAACTCAAAACAACTTTCAACCAATATCAAAGTGAGAATCTTCAATACGAACGTCAAGGCAGTTCTACTGTATGGAGCTGAAACTTGGAGAACTACAACAACCACCATCAAGAAAGTACAAGTATTTATAAATAGCTGCCTACGCAAGATACTCAACATCCACTGGCCGGATACCATCAGCAATAGCCTTCTGTGGGAGAGAACAAACCAACTTCCAGCTGAAGAAGAAATTAGGAAAAGACGATGGAAATGGATAGGACATACATTACGCAAATCGTCAAACTGCATCACGAGGCAAGCCCTAACTTGGAACCCTGAAGGGAGGCGAAAAAGAGGAAGGCCAAAGAACACATTGCGTCGGATTATAGAAGCAGATATGAAAAGGATGAATTACAACTGGACGGAGCTAGAAAGGATTGCCCAGGACAGGGTTGGATGGAGAATGCTGGTGAGTGGCCTATGCTCCTTCACGAGGAGTAACAGGCGTAAGTAAGTAAGTAAGTAAGTAAGTAAGAGGTAGATACTTGTCTCTACCCGACATGGATTAGCTCCACTGGTCACGGCTTCTCACTAGAACTCCGAGAATTCCCTTACGAAGTTAGTCACTAGTGAGCACATGTTAATTACTAGTATAGGGGTTGTGAAGATTATTTAGTTTTTGATTGAGATCATGAACTGATTGATGTTAGACATTCGTGAACTATTCTTTGAATAAAAAGATTTATTATGAAAATTGTTCAGTTTAAAGTTAGTTTACGTCATTAACTTAAACCGACAGAAAAAGTATTTACAATAAATGAGTTCTGAAGGACCATTTCATTCGAGCTTGAGAGTTGAGTAGTAGTAATAGTTGGATTTAGTCGAGATGAAACCTGATAACAAGCTATCGAGATGCGACCTCAATCTTGAGAAAACTGATGCAATTTGTAGGATTCGGACCTACATCATCCAGTCTCGTAATTTCAGGCGCTACCGTTGAACTGTTCGAGCAATAACGTCTACCCAAAGGATTAAGATATTTACACTAACTGGTCACTGAGTGGTTAGCAATTTTATATTTGTTAGTCTTTAGTGCTGATCGAACTCTACTAAAGCACACTTATAACTCTGGGTCTGTTTCCTTCGGTTTTGTAGATTCTGACATACAAACCTAATGTTGTAGTACTTGAAATATAATGCTGAATCACAAAGCAATGCGAAAGAGTTGTCCTTCATTGACTGATTACCACAAGTTGTCTCGTCAGTTTATAAGTGATGGCAATTCGCTACAAACTACAATTTCGTTATACATAAAGTGTATGAAAATTAATTTTACAAATTATAGTAAAATGTATTGGCATAAATTCGATGGTATTCCAATTGAAATTCTCTTAATTGAATTATTAAAGATAACTGTAAGATATTACTAAGATAATAATGTAAGATATTGTTAAATAACTCGACAATTGACAAAGATAATGATGGTGATTGAAAGAATTTGTGCTCGAATTGTAGCTATTTACATTCACATTTGAAATGATTACTAAGAAGTGGATACCATACCAAATAGGAAACTGCCCAACGTACTACTGTTAAACTAAATAGAGTAAAACATCACTTAACATTGAAGTAACTTCAGATTTACAAAAGAACGGAAGGAAGTATTATCTATCAGTAGATATTAACATTTAGTCAAAATTTTACAATCTAAATTAGAGAATTTTGGTTAATCTTTAAACTGTTTCATTCCTAATGTTATAATTAATAAGATAAATTCCTCTGTTTTAGATTTATTATGAATAGTTAGCTGTAATCTGATAGCTTCCAGCCTGCTGCGAATTCAAATAGAATCAATATACAGTGGTTGCTAATAGTTGTCAATTCATCTGTTATTTGGAGAAACAAAGAACGACTGTGCTGGATTTCGTGCATAAAATAAAAGTTAAAAACGAAATTCTTGAGTGAAACGTTAATGAGTAGTGGTTATTCATCGAAGTTCATAAACCACAGGAAGGGTTGCAATACGATTGAACCGATGACACTTCTGGAACCCAAAAGGGAGTTTATATTATGTTGCCATTTAGGGGCGATGCGAATAGTCTTATGTTGAAGCAGAGACTTAAATTAGCCATCAACTGGACATTTTATGCAGCTCAACTTGTCATTATTGAAAAGAAAGGTCTATGTTCCACCAAAAACGTAAGCGATTGTGTCCATCAATTTACATGTATGTGCAGAATCACGTACATAGGGAGGAACAATCATGATCTGCAAGAAAGAATGGCGGAACACATACCTCTATTCGGAAACATTTGGTTGAGACTGGTTAAAGGGTTGATGTTAAGCCAGCGTTTGTAGTATTGTAAAAAAGTGTTCAAGGACGTACACTAAGGTTTATTGAAGCCATGGCTATACGGAATCTGAAACCCCCTTTTTGCGTTCAAAATCGATTTGTCCTTACCCTCAACCTACCCTGGTAATACTGATTTATTGTCCAGAGTGGTTATCAGATTGTTTTTGTGTACTTTATCTTGATTTTCTTCGTTACGGCTTACCTTTAATCTGTTTAGTTGACCTTTTAATTTTCATATATAAATGTTCTTAACATGAACATTATGTGTGATCATATTGTTCGAAATGTATTGCGCGAATATATGACATAATTCTGATAACTTTCGCCATCTCATTTCATTATCCATAAACGTTAGTTATTAGTTTCGATAAATGATAAAAAAATGGTATTTAATCACTGATATAAATTGTTTAAATAATATAGTACCATAATTAATGAATTGACCATAAATTAACTACGTACTTACGCCTGTTACTCCCAATGGAGCATAGGCCGCCGACCAGCATTCTCCAACCCACTCTGTCCTCGGCCCTCTTTTCTAATTCTGTTCAATTCTTGTTCATTCTTCTCATGTCTATCTCCATTTCCCGGCGTAAAGTGTTCTTTGGTTTTCCTCTCCTCCTTTGGCCTTGAGGATTCCATGTGAGGGATTGTCTTGTGACGCAGTTGGGTGCTTTCCTCGAGGTGTGTTCTATCCATTTCCAGCGCTTATTCCTGATTTCTTCTTCCGTTGGGATCTGGTTTGTTCTCTCCTAATTAGGTTGTTTCTGATAATGTCTGGTCAATGGATCCGAAGTATTTTGCGTAGCCAATTGTTAATAAATGGCTGTAACTTCTGGATGATTGCTTTCGTAGTTCTGCCAGTTTCCGCCCCATACAGTAGAACTGTCTGGATATATGTATTGAAAATTCCAACTTCGGCGTTGATTGACAGACTGTTGTTTTGAGTTCCATATGCTCTTCAGTTGTAAATATGCTGCTCTTGCTTTGTTGATCCGCGCCCCCATATCTGAATCAGATTCACCGTGTTCATCAATAACGCTGCCCAGATATGTAAAGGTTTTAACATCTTCCAAATCTTCTCCGTCAGTTGTGATTGGATTGATGCATGCTGTGCCGTATCGCAGAATCTTGCTTTTCCCTTCGTGTATGTTGAGACCTACTGCTGCTGAGGCTGCTGCTACACTGGTTGTCTCCTTATGAATTTGTTGTTGCGTATGCGATAGAAGAGCCAGACCATCTGCGAAGTCTAGATCGTCTAAATGCATCCTAGATGTCCACTGTATCCCATGCTTCCCTCAGATGTTGACGTCTTCAACTGACCTTAAATAATTAACATTAATGATTATCCATATAGTTAATCAAATCCTATCCAACAACTAATATGTGGCTTATGAAACAATAGCGTGAAAATGAATTTTCTGTTAAATTATTGTAAAATACACTATAAACACCATAAACTTACTGTAAATACAACAGCTGAAATTGGTGTCAATCTATCCATATGTAAAAAGCATAATAATTTAGGCATTTGATTCACTTGACTTGCAACAAAAAACATACGTGATGTTGTCATTACTGTACCATTGACACCACCAAATGTAGATAATGCTACAAATATAGGCATAATCCACCACATAACTCCATAAATTCTTACAGAAAATGTCTATTGAGTATAAAAAAGAAGACAATTTATTGAAGTATAAGACTCAATCAACATTTTCAAATTAGATTATTAATGATATCAAAATAACGGATTATTTATATATAATATACCCTTGTGGGCCAGGGTAATTTTACATTGGTTTTTAGGAGAACCAGACACCATCCGAACTTTCACATAAAAACCCAAACAGTACAGCTCAACCCCGTTTAGCAGGGGAATCAGACACCGTACAGGCTTTAACGCTACAATCTGAATAGTACAGCTCAATCCTGTGGCGCAACCACACAGGTACCAAGCACCCTTGTATGAATATTAAAACAAAAAGGAAATTATCAAGTTAATGATCATAGAAGATTTGACAAAACTCCACAGTGATTTCCTTCTTTAAATTGTCTTGTTATATTTTGTAATTCTTTCAAGTTCTCTTGGAATTTCAGTAATGTGAAGATAATCATTTCGAAAAACCCACTTAATATGTATGTAATTAATTAGCTGTAAAAGACAAGTGATCAGTTGACTCGGAAACAAATAAATATGGGATAAAAGAAAATATATTCGGCTCCATAAGCAAATAATTTTTATTTTGGTTTCAACGCTTATTTATATTTCATGAAATTATGCTTTGGAAAATGAAATAAAACACCGAGACATTTAAATCTCATTTATTTTAACTCAATTGTGTATAAACTTGAAAGTAACCATTAAAAAACACTAACCTATTGCTTGTCCAATTAATAGAGTTTTAAAATTGACAACGAATAAAGTGCCTTGAACAATAGACTAGTTAACATGCGTTTCATCCTATCGTTGAAGCGAACGGTACTAGGTTCGTTTTCCAGAGTGAAAGTGAACTTTGGGATGCAGGTACATCTAGCTGACGAGTCCCAAATGGGACGAAATATTCGTCTTGGATTCCACTGCTAGCTACTATTCATGTTTGTTTAGAATGCATGTGACTTAAGGCAATATCGAGGCAATTCGCACAGGGTGCGTATATACCAAAAAGATATTGATCAATTTCAGTGCTTAACAACGATGGGAAGATTCAAGCAAACAATACCAAGTGAATTCAATACATTTTATGTTAGTAAAAAGTTAATAAAATATTACGAAAACAAATAAGTAGAATAGATGAACAATCTAATACATTCCTGATTACAACTTACAATGGCTACAGCTGGTGTAGTAAGTATTTCATAAGGTGAGACTACTGTCACATAGGCTACATTAGCCATGGTGTATATGAATGTTACGAGAAGACAAGAAATAATTATAGCCAATGGTAAATCACGGCGAGGATTATTCATTTCTTCAATCATACAATTTAAATAATTCCAACCAGAATATGCAAATAATCCAACATAAAATGCTTTAGTTATTGCACCTGGACTCCAGTCAGAATTATCAAATGCGCCAACAAGCCCATCGACTTTGCCTACATTACGGGGACAAAAGAATTGAAAACATTTTATGAAACAATAACGACATATCTGTGATTAAGAACCACCACATATTAAAAGACGTCACCATTTCACTCTTAGAGCGAATAATAGTCGAATTAAAAATTTTCATAAACTGTACAGATTTACCTTACGAATGTGATGTGAACAAAGAAACAAAAAATTCATGACAAACAACAGAAGCTATATACAGGGTCGTTATTTCACCTAATTCAAAGTTTGTAAAATACTAACATTTAGTTTTGTCCACAGTTCATTCTATAAACCATAAGCTTTCGTTTGATGTATCATTCACTGATATTCTCTTTTCTGTCCCAAAAATATTGTGATTTAAACAACCTCTTGTACTTTATTCACCTAGTATAATGCCCAGCTTGAACACAAGTGTATTTTTCTGATTGCTTATGCCTTGTAGTTGTGTTAGTTATCTACTTATTGATGTATCGTTTTACACTAATCTGAATCGAGAACAAATCGAGTGGTGCTCCATTGGAAACATCTTCTCTCTCTATCCCTATTGTCAAACAATCAGGTGATATCACAGCTTTCATCTGTCTACCCAGGAACGTTAGTTTAAATCCGGACTCACGTCTTCTAGTCTCAGGTTTAAACCAGTAGGCTTATCGTGTCAAGGTCTTACCCAGATCGAGACAACGTCTTTCCTGTATATCATTGGATAAACAGATGAAGAACAGAATGAAGGTTTTCAAGTACTAAAATTCAGTTCCATAAGTCTGCTAAATGATAAACTCTCATATATTTGACATTAACTACATAGAACGACTGTACCATATCGCTAATTGTGTTGAACATAATACATTTACCCTAGTGATGCAGAATAGCTATTACTGACGTTCACCAGTAACGCATAAAAATCCAAATTGCATCAACACTATTTCATATTAAAAATACATAAAACAGACATTATTGACAATAACAGATGAAAATTGCATAATAATCATAAAGTGACTAGAATTATAAATGTTAATTATTAGAAAGTGATTCCAATTATGTAAGTACAATGAATTCATAAGATAAACTAGAAAGATACATGAGATTATGAATCTTAAATAACAAAGTGGTTATAGTTTTCATACCGATTATTCATTGAAATTTTATGCTTAGAGATACAATAAGTTCATCTTATATAAAACATATCATGATTGAAATTGCAAAAAAAAATAGCAATATGCAGGATCTATAAAAATAAACTCTTTACAGATCATTATTTCTAATGTTTCAATTCCATACCTTTATAATCCACTATTATTAAGTACATATTACACAGAGTTTTTCTTAAAAATCTTCGATTATTATTATCATCTCACGAGGTGGGATCGTGGATGTGTACTGCTGAGAAATCTCACAAGAGGACGAAACGGCCATCCACTGATTCCAGGTGTTCCATGGTGATCTAGCTTCAATTAACTCATGATCTCTTTTGAGGACGTTAGATCCCCAGAACTCACTTGGAAAAGGTTCTAATTTTGTAATATTATTCTGGAATTTTCAATATGTTTTCGCGCCAAGAAACACTTAGTTAACCTACAGCTTACATTTCCCACGTGGAAATCCTTGACTGTCATTTGGTTGACGGTTTTTTTAGTATGCTATTTCGTGGCTCTCCTAAGAGCATTTCTACCATTATATAAATAAGCTTGATTTGTGTGCTTTAGTGACCTCGTATTTTCTGGGTGCTTGTAGAATACGTTCTTTATGCCTCATCAAAACTTCTTGATCTAGTTCACAGGGCCGGGGACAACGGATTAGAATAGCCTATCGTGTTAGTGTATCTTTGACTTTCGTTCTGTTTACCGAGTAAGGTGAACTCATAGTAACATTCAAACATATTAATCTGAACCATTGAAATTACTATAATATCCACACAAAAAACAACCCTTCTGTATGAAAGGGTTAATTATATCTACTAACCAATTCATATTTATCATTTTCTCAAAATTTCTGAGAGAGAGAGAGAGAAACAAAAGGAATTAAAAAGAAGTTTAAATAATGTAAATGTTGATCATTGAAATGAATATACACATATCACATATATATCATGTATGTGTATAAAGAAGTGACATTGATGATAGATAGATGACAGTATTACATAACTATTCGATGAATCAATTGTAAAATAAATATCTAAAATGATTATTGTTACTGGGTTATTTTTTTTTATTGTATCCAAGTTCAGACAGATTGAGGTGAACCGAGATAGAAAACAAAAAAAAAAAACAAACATAAAGCGCATTAGCAACTAAAGAAATAAAATAAACCTTTTTTTCAAATAAACTAGTATTTATTTTAAAAAATCAAAAAAAAATTTTTTCTCGATTTTATTTATTCATAGTTTATAATAAACAACCATAACTGTTTGTATGAATACAATAACAACAAATAAAATAACAATAACAATAAATAAATAAGTTCTATGACAATCTTCTCTCTCTAAAATTCATCTATTTCAATTATTCTTCATATAGAGAATGAATTAAAATCCAACTTAATATTCTATCATATAGAGATTACTACGTATGTTATCATTGATAGTCAGTTATAAATAATGGATAACAAATATGTAATGATATCAATTCATGACAATTTACATAAGTAAGAATAAGTAGTTTACAATCAAAGATTAAGATTATCATATGGATCTCAATCAAGATATCTGTACTTACATAGAGGATTTAGTTAAACTATTGATAGTAAAGGCAGATGTTAAATTATCAAGAGGGATTTTGTGGAGATGTTAGTAATTCTAATAGTTGGAATCATGAGTCAGTTGAATCTATACCACTATGGAAAACCTGGAAGCACTGGACGGCTGTTTCCTCCTAGTATGAGAATCTTCAGCAATGCGCATCCACGGTCCCGCCTCTCGAGACTTGAACACAGGGCCTATCAGTTTCGCGCGCAAGTGCTTAACCACTAGACCACTGAGCCTGCCGCCATCCAACGGTGTTAATGTATAGCTTCAACTAATCCACGAAAGTGCGCCACCATACACCATTGTCTTCAATGAGCTGACATCTCACAACAGACCTTGTTGAACTCCACTGGTCATGGCTTTTCACTAGAACTCCAGGAAATGCTTCTTGAATTCAGTCACTAGTGAGCAGAAGATTATTATCAGAAGGGATTTTGTGGAGATTTAAATTGTTCATTTTATTCCAATTTTTTAGCATTTAATAACATTTATTTGTTTGTAATATTTGAAGCAAGAAATAAGTGTGAAAGTAAACATAGTATACTGATTACTGTCATAATCGAATAAGCTGAAGTTGAACATTAACACCGTTCGATGCCGGCAGGCTCAGTGGTCTAAAGGATAAGTGCTCGCGTTCAGGACTGATAGGTCCTGGGTTCGAATCTCGCGAGGCGGGATCGTGGATGCGCACTGCTAAGGAGTCTCACAGTAGGATGAAACGACCGTCCAGTGCTTCCAGGTTTTCCATGGTGATCTAGCACCAATTGACTCATGATCTCAACCATTGAAATTATAATATTCACGAAAACCCTTCTGTTATAATCGAATAAGTTTAAACATTGACCAACTGAACAAGTCGACAATCTTTAAAAGGCTGAAAAGAACACTAGATTACCGTATATTAATAATTGGTTCAACAAATCTCTTTCCCTATAGGACTTAATTACTTAAAGTTATTCTAATATGGTATAACATCTAGAATATAAAAAAATTCGTTGATGAGGATGGATATTACGCAACTATGTATGTGAACAACTATGATAAAACATTGATGGGAATGATATTATGTTGATTAACAGGTTCCAGAAACAATAACTTGCAAGGAGATAAATCTTGGTGTGTTTTTTTAAATCTGTATGGAACTAAGCAACAACTCAATTGTTAAAACAATAGTTATTTAATCCTATCTGATGTTCAATAACCACTATACTGGTATCATTTTTTGACTCAAACATTATTTACATTACTGATAAGATGAAACTTATCAAATAAATGAAATTACCAAATTAGTACCATTTAAACTGGGATTAAACCTTGGTGTTAAATTTCACTATATTCAAGCCAGAACTAAAAATAAATTTGAAATTTACTTGGTATTATTTACTTGAACCTTCCCAATGATGTTTAGGACTGCAATTGATCAGTTTGTTATTGGCATACTGTACGGATTGCCTCAATATTACCTTAATTCACAAGCATTCTAAGCAAAGATGGATAGTGGTTAGCAGTAGAATCCATGACGTGCATTTCATCTTATCTTTGAAGCGATTGGTACTGGGTTCAAGTCCCGGGGTGAACATCAACTCTGGGATGCAGGTACCCTAACCCAACTGACGAGTCTTAAATAGGACGAAATGTGTGTCCTGGATTCCACTGCTAGCTACCATCTATCTTTGCTTATACATTTGAAATGTAAAAAAAACTAAACAAAGTAAATAAAATAAAAATAATCCCGGTTAATTAGTAAATAAAAACGAGACTTTTAAACTTTTTTTATTGTTGTTGTTGTTTAAATTACGTCTAGTCACTTTAATATTGAAGGACAATTTTATTGTATTGAACATTAGTTTAAATGGTATAACAAGTATTTAATAACCATAATATTTGAATTACATTATTATGGTTAAACAACTGATGAATATGAAATAATTTAATGATCAAGTTAAATTTAATGATCAACAATTAGTCTATACTTGTGTATATAGGCTTCTTTAGGTGAACGTCTAAATACATATTGTCTGAACGAACACAAATATTGATAATAATAAATGATTGTATACCTGTTTAATAAAATAATGAAAGTATTTAGATCAAGTAGCTAAATGGATAACGTAATGGAGTTTAAAGCACTCAGTATTGAAGTTAATCATATGAGTACACCGGTAAATTCAGATGATCAGTTTAAAGTAGAATGAAATACGAATTCTTGATTTCACTGTTTGCCAATATTCAAGAATACATAATTAACAGATGGTAGATATA